ATGTGGGATCTGGGGCACGAGGGGAAAACTGACAGAAGGGAAAGGGAGTGAGCTGTGAGTGCTGCCTTCCTGTCCCTGCCTCCAGCTCCGTCCACCCACAGCCTAGTTCCACACCAGGACAAAGACTCAAAGCCATCGAGAACTAGAGAGCATCCAAAGACACCAGCTCCCCCAGCAGCCCTCCCCCTGGGCCCCAATCTCCCTCTCCAGCTCTGCTCAGCACTCCTCACTTCAAGGAACCCAGGCGGAGTGTCCTGAAGCCTGTCTCCCCCCAGAACTAAAAAGGCCTTGGGTCTGCAACTGCACCTACTTCTTCTCAGCGATTCCCAGACTCAAGTCCTCACTGACCAACTGACAAGACACAGCACAGCGGCTCACAGCTCAGACCCAGCTGCTCCCTCTCCCTCCCTCCCAAATCTTGCTGGTATGCCACTCACTGTGCAGGCTCCCCGTCTGGGGGGGGTGTCTGGAATATTGCAGTGCATGCATGGCCAAAAGGGTGCCAATGGGGAGTGTGGTTGAGACCTAGAGGCTGTGTCTGAATATAGATGGCAGAGATTTGTGCCTGTAACTCGTGGCTCTGCAGAGAAAGGATATGGGGCTGGAGCCTGTGTAGTTGCCTGGCAGAGCCTTCCCCCCTCGGCCCCTCTGGCTCAGAGACCCCCCACAGTGAGGGCCCCATCTGCTGGAGGCTCGGTGACCTGTGTCAAATGAGCAGGCGCTCGGTCACACTCCAGAGCTTGGCGGAGGCCAAGCCACTCTGGGAAAGCCCTGGCAGCTTCTGGCCTGAGGGTGGGCTGGCCAGGAGCCCCGCTGTGGAGAGAGGCCTGGGAGCCTCTGAGACTGGCGGTGGCCTGGCTGGGAGCTGTCCTCCACAGACAAGGGGAGTGACAAAATAAGAAGAGAAAGGGCTCTCCCGCTTCCTTAAGACGAGCGCTGCTGCCAAACCACACGGACCAAACTCGGGCGAGGCATGCCCCTTGCTCTTCTTTGATCCCCAGGCAGATGTGTTCATTCCTACGGGGTGTAGGTACGTGTGTGTGTGTGTCCGTGTCATGTGTGGGCTGGGCCCCTTTGTATCTGTGCAGTGGGGCGAGGTGAATGGACGTGGCTGGCTCTATGCTCATATGTATGAACACGAGGCTGTGCCTATGTGTGTGAACTGGCATGCCAGTGGAGAGCCTCCATGCTTGTGACCCCAAAGGCCTGTAAGTCTCGTGTATTTCTGTGTTGCTGAAGGAATGCCTACTTGAGCCCATTTCAGCCTATGGGTGGGTTCTGTGTGTGTCCCCATTGACACACATGCCTGTATTTTCATTGTTTGGTCTGTGTGAATATGAATATCTATGACTATCCGACCCAATGGTGCAAGACCATGTGTTCCCTCGTATAAGTCTATAAGTTTGTCCCTGGGCTAAAATGCATGTGTGTATCTGGGCGTGTGTGTGTGTGTGTGTGTGTATACATTCATCTGTTCACATGTCTAAGCCGTTCTTGTGTCTGTGTGAGTCAGCTGGGTGGCCGACTCTTGTGTTCCACGTTCTCCCCAGGGTCTGTGAGGGTAGGCTCCAGAAGAGGGGGGTTGTCCTGCAGCACGTGTCTCTGCCAAAGGCCATGCCACAGTCCCTAGCATCCCACTCGGGATCTCTGGGAGCTAGACCAAGAGGATGTATTCGCCAGACTTCCTAGAGAATAAACTCTCCCATAACAGAAAATTTTGACTCAAGATCAAACCCTTATTGTAGAGGTCTAAACTTCCAAAGCAGAAAAAGGGATAGCATCTCTTCCTAGTTGGCACTGCTGCTCACTCGAACATTACGAGAGCATCTGAACAACATGCTTGCTTCATCTTTGGAATTTCAGAGCAAGCCTGAGAAACAGGCATTCTTGTTCCTGTGTTAAGCTGAAGAAACTGAAGCTTCTACAAGCAAAGCATTTAGCACAACGTCACAGGGCTGCTGAAGGGAGTCAAGGGATTGGAACTGCGATTTGCTGACTGACAAGCTAGTAAACCGGGAGCCTGGCTTTGCTACAGATGCCCCTCCATTCAGCACAGACCTGGAAACTCAGCTTAAAAGCACCGGCCGGCCTTTTTTTCTACTGGAGAGCGACTAAAGAGAGGGCAGTGGGCTCTCTCTTCCCAAAGCCACCACCTCCACAGGCACCCGTCCCCATCCCACTGGGGAGGGTAATGAGGAGAGGGACCTTCAGGGGTGCTATGCCCTTGGACAGCCCTTGGTTCTTTCAGCCATGCACTAGTGATGACCGTGTCAGTGCACTCGCTCCAGGCTGAGAGGTGTAGGTACCGTGATGACTGAAAGGCACTTGGTCAAGTACTGTGCCATCGTTCAAGTCTCAGTGACAGTTCCAAAACACCTGACATCACAACACCTGTCCACTGTCCAGACATTGCCCTTCCTCCAACAAAAACTGAGACCAGCCCTAGCTGGTTTGGCTCAGTGGACAGAGTGTTGGCCTGTGGACTGAAGGGTTCCGGGTTCGGTTCTGGTCAAGGGTACATGTCCGGTTGTGTGTTCGATTCCCAGTAGGGGGTGTGCAGGAGGCAGCCGATAGATAATTCGCTCTCATCCTTGATGTTTCTATCTCTCTTCCCATCTCCCTTCCTCTCTGAAACCAATTTTATATATATATATATATATATATATATATATATATATATATATATATATATATATAACTAGACCATCAGAGCTGACAGGGCTGAGAGGTCAACCAGTTCAAACATCCATAAACCCACTCTACAAATGAGGAAACTGAGATTTAGTTAGAGCAGGGGAGAGACTTGCCCGTTCCCTGGGCACTAACCAGCAGAGTGAAAGCCCTTTCTGAGACCCTTTCACCCCCATTATCTCGGGCCATCCTCTGACTTCCCTTAGCAAGACAGGTGGGCTGCCTGTGGTGCCACTGTTGTCAGTTTACAGATAGAAAAACCAAGAGCCAGAGAGACTGGACCAAAGTTATTCTTGCCCAGGAGGATGGTGGCAGCTCAAGTGTCAATGTCGCACAGATCTGATTAGGCTGGCATGAGACAAGACTTGGCCCTCCCCCTGGGCCTGGGAGAGGGGCCCAGAAGGCAAGTAGACCAGGAGGTCTGCTGCTTTATGCTCGTATGAAGGAAAGGGGATTCGAGGTGACCACTTCCTGAGCCAGAGTCCAAGAAAACTAGCATCCCTAGCTGGATTCAGACACAGCTCGTGAAGTGAAGGTGGTACTTAAGGAGCCTGCTCGGGACAGGGGCCACTGGCCAGACAAGGACCTTGCCCTGTCCCACTCCACCCCTTGGGGACCAGCCAGAGGCAGGACCTATGGTGTTCAGAACACAGCCTGTGCCCAGGATGACTGTTATCATTGTGGACATGGCAGCTGCACCAGATCCCTTCTTCACGCTCTGAGGCTTTATTCCAGAGTCTTGACTTGCTCTATGGGGCCCTAACTGGTTTTCCAGCTGGGTCCTGTGATCTGGGACCCTCAGAGCCCTAGAATCTATAAACCCACTGGAGGCCAATGGAAACTGTGCCAGCCAGTTTGGGACAGAGATAGAGGCCACAGCTCACACCACTCAGCCTATAACTCCATGTGGGATTTAGAGAGTTACAGACCAGCAGATGCTGAGGTCTGAGTCCACTTAGGATCCTTCAGAGATTCCTGGGGGAAATGGGGGAGGGATAAGAAGGTACCTGCATTGCATGTCTCACGCTTCCAATAAGGCCTTCTCTATCTCAATTCCTTTTTTAGTAGCCTCAAGCAATTCGGGTTAGACCCAGCCCAGGGCTTCATTGCAGGCTGGACAGCTCCTAAATGAAGGCTGGATTTCTGACATGCCAGACGCCTTTTCCCAAGTCCATGCCACTCCTCAACCACAGCAAGTTTCCCAGGACGTGACCCCGATCTGACCCTGGCCAGTGAGCCAGTCCGGCAGGGAGGAAAACCGGGCAGATGTTGGTGAGCCCGCGTATCCACCACCCCTGGCTGCGGCGTTTTCCCCAAAGCCACAGTCGAATACCTCTCCGAATCCCGGAAACCCCGCGTCGAGGCCTGATTCCATCGCGGCCACCGGCTGTTCTCCCGCTAGCCGCCCGCACGGTACTCACCTGGGCCGCGGTGCCGGTGCCGGTGCCGGTGCCGGGAGAAGGGGAGCCCGCATGAGGCGTGAAGCTGGGGCGGGTTCGAATCTGCCCGCGCCGGATGCGCTCTCCGGCCGGCCCAGTTGCGGCGCCGAGTCTAAAGAAGAGGGGACGGGAGACGAGCCGGGCCGTGCGCAGGGGACAGCTCCGTGCCCGCTGTAAAGCGCGGGAGCGGGGCGGCAGGAGGAACAGCCGTGCTGGAACCGAATCCGGTGCGCACGCCGCCTCCCGCTGCAGCCGCCGGGACCGCGGGGATCCCAGCCCGCTGACTACCGCACCGCGGAGGGAAGAGCGCGCGGGCGAGCTGCAGCTTCTTGGAGCCCGAGCGCCTCCCTCCCGTTGCCCGCAGTCCTTGCCGCCGCCTCCGGCCTCCCGGGCGGGAGACAGGCGGGAATTCGGCTCGCGTGGAGAGTGGGACCCGCCGGGCTCCGAGCCTCCAGCGCCGGGGAAAAGAGGGGCCCACGGAGCCCAGACCAGAGGGGGTGCGGCCCCACGGCCACCCCCGCGCCACTCCCCCACGTGGCGGCCGCGCCCCCGGGGCGTGAGTGTGTACGGGGATGGCGGGGGGCTGTGAATGAAGCCCCGGCGGCCAATCAGCGCGGCCAGCGCACGGGACCCCGGGAGGGAGGCCCAATGGCGAGCTGCGGGCGGCCGGGCCGAGCGGCGGGCGGGCGCGGGGGGCGGGGGCCGGGGCCGGGCGGGGGGAGGCAGCTCCGCGGGCAGCCAATGGGCGGCGGGCGGGGTGGGGCTCCGGAGCGCTGAGCGGGTCGAGGCTTTAAGCCGGCGGAGCGCGGCAGCGGGGCCCGCAGACGGAGCGAGGAGGCGGCGGCGGCGCGGCGCGGGGCGCGGGGCGGCATGGCCACCACCGCGCAGTACCTGCCGCGGGGCCCCGGCGGCGGGGCTGGGGGCACCGGACCGCTCATGCACCCGGACGCCGCGGCGGCAGCGGCGGCGGCGGCGGCGGCCGCCGAGCGGCTGCACGCGGGGGCCGCGTACCGCGAAGTGCAGAAGCTGATGCACCACGAGTGGCTGGGCGCGGGCGCGGGCCACCCCGTGGGCCTAGCGCACCCCCAGTGGCTACCGACGGGAGGCGGCGGCGGCGGCGACTGGGCCGGCGGTCCGCACCTGGAGCACGGCAAGGCAGGCGGCGGCGGCACCGGTCGAGCCGACGACGGCGGCGGCGGCGGTTTCCACGCGCGCCTGGTGCACCAGGGGGCCCACGCGGGCGCGGCGTGGGCTCAGGGCGGCGCGGCGCACCACTTGGGCCCGGCTATGTCGCCGTCGCCGGGGGCCGGCGGGGGCCACCAGCCGCAGCCGCTCGGGCTGTACGCTCAGGCGGCCTACCCGGGGGGCGGCGGCGGCGGCCTGGCCGGGATGCTGGCGGCGGGCGGCGGGGGCGCGGGGCCGGGCCTGCACCACGCGCTGCATGAGGACGGCCACGAGGCGCAGCTGGAGCCGTCGCCTCCGCCGCACCTGGGCGCCCACGGACACGCACACGGACATGCACACGCCGGGGGCCTGCACGCGGCGGCGGCGGCGCACCTGCACCCGGGCGCCGGCGGCGGGGGCTCGTCGGTGGGCGAGCACTCGGACGAGGACGCGCCCAGCTCCGACGACCTGGAGCAGTTCGCCAAGCAGTTCAAGCAGCGGCGCATCAAGCTGGGCTTCACGCAGGCCGACGTGGGGCTGGCGCTGGGCACGCTGTACGGCAACGTGTTCTCGCAGACCACCATCTGCCGCTTCGAGGCCCTGCAGCTGAGCTTCAAGAACATGTGCAAGCTCAAGCCGCTGCTCAACAAGTGGCTGGAGGAGACCGACTCGTCCAGCGGCAGCCCCACCAACCTGGACAAGATCGCGGCGCAGGGCCGCAAGCGCAAGAAGCGCACGTCCATCGAGGTGGGGGTCAAAGGCGCGCTCGAGAGCCACTTCCTCAAGTGCCCCAAGCCCTCGGCGCACGAGATCACCGGCCTGGCCGACAGCCTGCAGCTGGAGAAGGAGGTGGTGCGCGTCTGGTTCTGCAACCGGCGGCAGAAGGAGAAGCGCATGACCCCCGCGGCCGGCGCCGGCCACCCGCCCATGGACGACGTGTACGCGCCCGGCGAGCTGGGCCCGGGCGGAGGCGGGGCGTCGCCCCCCTCGGCGCCCCCGCCGCCCCCGCCGGCCGCGCTGCACCACCACCACCACCACGCGCTGCCCGGCTCCGTGCAGTGACCCGCGCGGGCCCGGGCCCGGCTGGCGCGCGGCGGAGCACCGCGCGGCCTGTACTCTTTTTGTTCGGTTGCTTTGGATTTTACAAAAAAAAAAAGCCCAGAAACTTTAGAACAAAACCAAACACCCGACCACCTTCTCCTTCTCCGGCGAGCGGCGAAGAGGACGGATAGGCTACGCCGCCTGAACCCCGGAGAGAGAAAGGAAGACCCGGACCGCGCCAACTCGCCCGGGGCATCCATCCGGCCCGCCGCCTGCTCCCTGGCCCCATTCCCTCCACGACCCCCATCCTTGCCTCCCCTCGGGCTGTTCGGGGCCGGATCCCGGCAGCGGCCTCCCCACAGCGACAGGTAACGCGGTTCGGGGTTAGGAATTCCCCGGGAGAGAGGACACGGAGAGAGAAGGGTTCCCCATCCCCTCTCCCCGGCGCGGGTCCCCGAGCCTGCGGGTCGAGAGTGGGGAGCTGTCACTTTGCCTCTTCTCTCCCCAAGAGGATGCGCCCCATTCCCCTGATCTTTCCTCCGGGGCTTGGTTTTTTTTTTTTACGGTTTTTATTTATTCGCGGAGCCTCTCGGCTCCTGGGGTCCTTCTAACTCCGCCCGCGCCCTTAATTTAAATCGCTGTATTACTGTATTTATCGGGGCCCCGGAGGGGAGGCCGCGAGAGCCGCGTCTGTGTATTAAAAAAAAAAAAAAAAAGAGCAGGAAATAGCCAAAGCTTTACTCTAGCCTAATTTATTTTTTTCCTCTTGCCATCCTAGCCCTACCCCAAAAAGAGCAAAACCAACGAAAAAAAAAATAACACAAAAACTAACAAAAAAAATTTTTTTTTGAGTGCTCATTTTCCTTTCGTTTTATCGGAGCTCCAACTCGGTTCCGGCCACGCCGTAGGGGTCTGCGCTCCCACCCACACCCCCGATGGCAAGGGGCTTCTGCCCCCGCTGCAGACTGACCACCGCACCACAGGGTCCCCGCTCCCCGCGGGGCCCTGTCCTCCTGGCCACAAACAAATGCAACTTGGAAAAGTTGGAGGTATTTTTTAACCAGCTGTAGAAATAAGCCGTTCCCTGAAAGCCTTCTGCCTGAGTCCCTGCAGCTTCCGTCTGCTCCCTTTGCAGCCCCCTGGGATGGGGGAGGCTGGGAGAGAAAATTCCCCTACTTTGGGTGAGGTGGGGAACCATGTAAATATGTGAGATATGTACACACTGGCGGGGAGAAGAAACATTTTTGTGCTTGATTTTTATTTTTTGGTTTTTCCGGGTTGCCCTCCGTCCCCCATCCGAAAGGATTTTGTACACCGACTAATCCGAAAAAGATATTTTAATATGATTTCCAGATTTCTGACCATCTCTATTTATTTTCTGGATGTGTCTGGAGCTTCCCCCTCCTCCATTCCTTGTTTTTTTGTTTGTTACCGTTGGAATTTAAATTTTATTTTTATTATTTTTTTTGGAACAATGTTTTGGTGCATTCTCTTTGTATCTTTATTGCAAAAATGATAATAATAATAACGTAGACTGGGAAGTTCCCTTTATATTTATGTTATAGTAAATATTTTATTACTCACATAAACATGTACCCCAGGGCTGTGTCCTGTCCTCTTTACTACCAGGGCCGGGTGGGTTTGTGGGTAAAATGTTGGGGTACCCTGGCTCACCTCCCCCAAAGTCTTGGCCTTCCTATTGTAGAGAAAGGTAACCACACCACCCTTCTTCCAGGCCAGTATTGGGACCTCCTGTTTCCCGGGCCACAGCTGGGCCCCTGCCTCAGGTGAGTGAGTTTGGGAAGATGAAGCTGGCCCGAGTCCCCTCCCACAAACAGACTATCCTGAGACCGGACCTGGGCCAGGACAGGGAACCGCAGGTACCACGCTGAATCAGGGCCAGCGTTCCTCAGGCACAACTCCCCTGCTCTTCTTAGCCCAGGGAGAAACTACCTGGACCTGGACCATAAGCCTGGCATTTCTGTATCCCCCACCCCAACCCTGACTTTGGTTTCTGTTCGCACTCCATCCCAGCTGGCTCTCCAACCTCAAGCATCATGGTACCTAAACCTCCTTGGACCGACTGGCGGGTCCTGCCCTGGTCCTTCGTGAGCTGAGTGGGCCTAGGGAGGGAACCCTACCTGTTTGCTTCGACAAAGGCTTCTCGGCAAACAAACTAGCTGCCTCAACTTCTGCCAAAGAGGGGGGCATAAACACCAAAAGCTCTGCCATCTCCTCTCTGGGGATGGATACCCAAGGACTACTGCCCACCCCTATACCCCCACCCAGGGCGCGATGCCTATGCCTATGGAAGGACTCCACAGTGTGTAGTCACGGCCAGGGTGGAGGGCATAGACACCCTCAGACATCCCCTTCTCAAGCCTTCGGCGGCAACATGCCCCCTCCCCAGGGTCAGGGTGGTGGAGGCAGATCAGTGTTCCAGGCCCGAAGCTCAAAACTACCCGTGTCCCAGCCAAGACCTTCCCTTAAAACAACTCTTTTTAAAAACACAAATAAATAAGACAGCCTGTTTTCTCCCGTCTTTCTTTTCCCTCCTCAAGAGAAACTGCATGAGGTTTCTTTTACTCTGAGTGGAGACAGCGCGTGAAGGCACAATTGCTGGAACGGGGAGAAAGTTGTGTCCCCGGTGAGGGTGTATGGGTGGCCACCAGGAAAGCTGCCAACTCCCAAGCCTGTGAGAGCTGGTGCTCCCACGCCCCCGATGGTGCCACGCTGAGAGTTCTGGTGACTGTCTGGGCTCTGCCTCTCAATCTTGGGAGAATTGTCTCGGCAAGTACAAAGTTCTCCAATGCCAGACCCCTCACTCTGCTCCTTATTTTTTCTCCCACTTTCACTCCAGCCTAGGGAGCAATTAGCCCTGTAATTGGCACCCGTGCCCCAGCCAGTCCCCATCCTGGCAGGCCAGTGAGCCTCCCCAGGCTTCTTAAAGAGGTAGCCAGGAATGTATGGGCCAGTGAGGTGACAGCATGGCCCAGAGCATCAGGCCACCCTAGGTTGGCCCCTCATTTCCTGCTCCATGAAGTACGGAACCTCAAAGCGGTCCCACACTCCCTCCTCACATCTCCATTCCTGGGTTTGTTCCACCCTCCGGGCCCCGAAATGGAAGCACATGGAGCTCGCTCAGCGCGCCGCCCTGAGCCTCAGCGGGTTTGGAGGTTGGAGAGGGTGACTGGGAAGACGGGGGTCTTTCACTGGCCTCTGCCTGCAGCTGACACCAATTGATTGATTGATTTCCCAATTATCTGCTTAATCCTGTACAAGAGGGTGGATTTATTATTTAAGCAAGTCAACTCAAAACCAGCAAAACAATGTGGCCTCCCAAGAACCAGCAGCAGCTGACAGGTAGAACAAAAAGATGGGGGGGGGGGGGGGGGAGAAAAAAAAGGAGAAAAGAAGACGGAAGAAAATCTTCCACTTGGTGAGGATTTTACTTAATGAGACACCAGCCTGGGACAGCTACCCAGGAACCAACCTGGTCACTAAAGGCCCCCCTGACTCTTTCCCTGCCTCCGGCCTGGGAGGAGGGTAGAAACCGTAGCACATTGGACCATTAAGGAAAAGCCATGGGGGGAGAGAGATTTAACCTTGCAGTCTTAACCCCCTGAATAGAGTTTAGGAAAAAGACACAGTCCCCTGCTTGCTTGACCGAGCCGCTTCTGCATCCCCTGCGCGTGTGGGTCTACCTGCTCATTCCAGAGAGCCTCAGGCTTCCTTTTGTCCAAGACGGGGAGACGTCCCTAGCATCAGTCTTCGAGGAAGGCCACGCTTTCCTGAGCTGATTTTCTGATTCGGAATTTTCCGATCCCATCTTCCTTCCTCGTTTGAACAACATTACTTTCTATGATCATGTGGCCACATGTTCTGTTAGCGCTTCCCTCTCCTCATGTGAACTTCTGTGTGTGTTGGTGTGTGAATGTGTGTGTGTGTGCCACTGTGCCTGCAAATCCATAGCCACTCCCAGAGGGAGGAGGGGGAAAAGAAAATCTACGCTACACCGAGAATGCTTTGAGCTGGAAGAACTTGTGCAGGACGGGGGTTGGTCAACAACAGGAAGAAGGAAGGTGACCGTCGTGGTCACCTCTGGTCATCCAGGCAAACCCAGAAGGAGCCCCTACACTGTACCTCAAGGACCCCCACCTCCTGCACTGGCTTATATGTTGCCTGGCTTAGGTCTGGTACAGTCATCCCTTGAGCCCAGGACTCGATTGCATGTCCACCAGACTAGCTGATCCCAACCACAGCTATGCACTTCGAGCTGTTTAGAACCGAATCTCCTCTGGAGAGGCTCTGGGCCTACATATGTGGTGTGTCAAGTCCCCAGTGATGCACCCAGGCCCTGGCTCTCCCCAGCAGGGCTTGAGCTTCAGACTCACCCGAGCAGGAGAAGGAAAGAGAGGGGGTTTGTTATCTGGGCCCAATTGTTCCTCCTAAACGTAACAAGAGGATTCACCCAGACCTCCGGCTTAGTGACTGAAGCCAGAGTGGCTGTCAGTCTTATCCCCGCCTGATGTATTTGAAAACCCTGGAGTTAGTGTTTGGCTAGCCGATCAGGGCTCTTCCTGCTGCCTGGGATGGAGGCCTCCATGTGGGAGGACTGCCCTCTATTGGTCCCTGAACTGTGACGTGGCAACAGTCACCAAGGCCATCGCACAGCTGGGTGTCCCCAAAAAAAAGTCAGCTTCAAGTTGCCTATTCTACGGGAGTGCCAGGTACAGCAGAGTCAACTAGCATCTCCAAGGATGCAGTCCTGCTTCACACACGCACACAGGCTTGCCAGAGACCTTCCTTCTCCATCTACCACCTCCCCCATCCCACAGCCACACTCGGAAATTTGCCATCGTGGCTACCTCCTCTGTCTGTCTCCCCTCACACCCATCCCCATCACACTCACACGCTAACACACTCATGGTCACACCCCTACCCCTGTTTGGCTGTCCAGTACCAGTTTCGTAGTCTTTGGCGCTGAGCTCTCCAGAGTTGCCAAATACCTGGCACCTGTA